CCAGTTAAATAAGCGATGGTGTGTTCTGTATTCTTTCCTGTTCATTTTTCATATTCCCTTTTCTCTGAGTTTGTACTCCAGTCCTTTTCATGTCTCCAACTAGAGTATTATAGGAAGAGAAATACCAGGTGTGCCTGGTAACTTGAAAGCATGTTGAAACACTAGTGTTTTTTTCATTCAGATGTTTAACTTTAAAATTGCCATTTTTGTGTATGATTCTAAAATTATGGGAAATTAGAAATCAAATAAATGATATATGTGGGTGGCTTTTTAGACTTACTATTTCTTTGAGTAGATACTTTTCTCTGGTTTTCATGAGAATCAGAAGCATTTTGTTTCACTGTGGTTTAGTGTGGCTTTTCACATGTCCCTGAAGCAACTGAGTGACAGTAGGGAAGCAGCCTAAAGTTGAATGTTTGCCGTGGGTAGCCGACAGTTGCTGTATTTATTTATTCATTTTTTTCCATTTATAATTTTGTAGCATTTTCTAGAAAGTAGAAGACTAGGATTTTAATTCCAGCCTTTTCACTGGAATTATTTATTCCTAAGAAATTGGAATAACTATTCACTTCTCAAAACCTTAGTTTGCTCATTTATAGAATAGGGATACCTGACTTCTATACTTTATAGATAGTAAAGGGTCTAAGAATCATCACGGCTAAAGATCTATAGAAATGTAAGCTGTTAGTATTGAAACATCACTAAATATTAATTTTTTATTGCTAGTAACAGTAGTGCATTTGTACTAATTCGCCATTAGGAATTTCGAAATGATGTTCTTTATTTGCTATCTGACTGAAGATACAATTAGAGTGATGTAGATCATACAGCCCCACGTCACAGATGACCCTCAAATCTTATTTTCTGGGTTTATTTGCTTACAGTCTTATATAGTGGAATAGGAAAAAGACAAACCCATTAGCCCGCATACCACCTGCATCCTAAACAGATAGATAGCTTTCCATTTTCCTCTGATGATTATGGCAGGTTTTTGATACACAGCTGATGTTTCATTTTATCTGTTAGCTTCACTGAAAGTGGTCTGCTTAATCAACTACATTATTAGATTACATAGGATCATTTCATTTAATACTTTCTCTATGAGTTTTGGCATTTCGCTATTTCCTTTTCATTTTCTAACAAAGTCGTCAATCAAAATTTAAAAATTTTAGCCTGACCCTACCTCAGGGAAATTTGAGGGAAAGAAACTGCTTATTCTGGAGTCTAGAACTGAAAATGTTCTCCATGATTACAGGGAAAGGGATTAGGATTCAAGGATGGAGAACGTATGTTCTGCTTTTTTGGATAAAACTGTCGGGGAGGGGAAAAAAGCCCTTTTCCTCTACTCATCTTAAGTTCGCCAGCTGGGGTCCTGTAAATTAGACTGACAAAAGACAGATTTACAAGAGAAAAACAAACAGATGTGTCTGCTTTATCATTTTTCTTGAGTTCCATTGGTAACATAGTGCCCCTGAAAATAATTTGCTGCTGTCTTTGGCAGAAATGAAGATTGGTGTGTTGCCAGCACCATAGCTAGAATGTCAGGACTAATTTGGGAGGTTGCAAACTGCCACTCACCCACCTTTAGACCATTGTTGATTTTCTGACATTTCCCATCACTGGATAAAGTGGGATGGAGGAGCCAAGATGGAAAAGTGTGTTCTTCACTTAGTTCCCATGTAAATATAAATACTAAGAGATGTTCCTTTGAGTTATGGATATGGACACTTAGAAAGTATTCTTTAAAAAACATCACAATAAATGAACCTTCTGTACAATATTTCAAGAGTTCGCCAGTCTGAAAACTAGAGAAGACTATTTGTGTGATAAATATGCAGAGTCTGAAAGCTTAGTAAGGTCCAAAATTTAGACATATATGCATACAAACAGTAGGTAAATAAATTGGAAAGATGAGGAAGGTGAAATATAACTAATTTAGCTTTCCTTCCTTTAGAGAAAATAGCTTCCCATTACTTTAACAGAATAGCTGACCAAAAAGTTCTTTCAGTATCTTCTGATGAACATACAGAAGTTTTGTGTCCAATTAAATTCTGTTCATACCAAAAAGTTTGCACAGATTGACCATAGTTTATGACCAACAAAACAAACAGAAGTTGTTTATAGATGATGTTTGCTGCAACTTTTAACATTCTTGTTTTCACCAGTGAAATTTAATGATAATTTAAAAGTTGTCTTCTTTTTTTGAAAGTTTTCTTTTAAATACCTTTTTTTTTTCCTGGTTGTAGATAGGTAGTTATGAAGCCATAAGCTCTTGATCGTTGAAATTTCCAGCTGTTTTTTCTTTTTAAATAGAAATTGAAAAGCTGATTCTAAAATTATATGGAAATTCAAGGACATAGAATAGCCAAAGTAGTCTTGAAAAAGAACAAAGCAGGAGACTTACATTATCTGAATTTGAGACTTAACTCCAAAGATTTTATAATGAAGGCATTGTGACACTGGCCAAAGGATAGATACATAGCTCAGTGGTGTAATAGAGCATCCAAAAATAGACCCACACATTTATTGTCAAATGTGACAAAAGTACCAAAGTATTTAGTAAGGAAGCGAAAACGTCTTCACCAAATGGTGATGGAAAATTGTTTATCCACATAGGGATGAAAGATACTAGAATATGCCACCCCAAAATATGTGACTATGGCATAAGGGTTGTTTTGAGCTAAAGGTAGTTGAGAACCAGCAAATTCAGGAAAGGTGCTGTACTTCTCCTAACTGCCTAAAAATAGGGTATAATTTCCTCTTTAAATAAAGAAAATATACATTTGTAAAGATGAACCCTCAATCATCTGGCTACCTCCTGGAGTCATTTCTTTGTAAGACTCTCATGCATGTGCTTATGCACAATGTAATTAAACTGTTGTTGTTGTTGTTGTTTTCCTTGTTAGTTTTTTATTAGTTTGATTCATGGGCCCCAGCAATTGAACCTAGGGGAACAGAGGGGAAAAGACTTTACTGCTCCTGTAAAATAAAAAAGAACCTGAACTCCTGTTTCACACCACACAAAAAATTATAATGAATCAGGATCTTGACTTAAAAGCTAAAACAATATGGCTTCTAAGGACAACATAGGAGAGTATCTTTGAAATCTATCTTAGAGAGGACCATAAAAGAGTAGATAAACTGCAGTTCATCAAAAAATAAAAACATCTCATCTTATTAGAAGTATCATCAAGAAAAGAAATAAACAAACCACAGACTGTGAGAAAATATTTGTAACAGCTATACAGGCATACCTCGTTTTGTTGCACTTCGCTTTATCACGCTACACAAGATGTTGCAATTTTACAAACTGAAGGCAAGACCCTCCACCAGCAGAAAAGATTACGAGTTGCTGTATTGTGATACTTACTTTATTGCAGTGGTCTGGAACCAAGCCTGCCATATTTCCAAGGTATGCCTGTATCTGACACAGGGCTTGTATCCAGAATATATAAAGATTTCTTAAAATGGAATAATTTAAAAAAGACAATCCAGTTTTTTAAATGGGCAAAAGATTTGAATAGACACTTCCCAAAATAAGGCACATCACTAGGCAAGAAAGAAGCAGGTAAAATTGCTCAGCAGTTTTAGTCATCAGGGAGATGCAAAAGGAGATACCACTACCCACTTATTATAAAGGCATTTTAACTAAAACACCACACTTGGGAGAATGTAGAACTCTCGTGCATTGCTGGTGGGGGTATAAAAATGTTTTCCACTCTGGAAAACAGCAGCAATTCTCTTATGTAATTATCCAAGACAAATGAAAATATATATCTACAAAAAGTCATCTATAAGAATATTCAAGGCAGCTTTGTTGATAATAGACCACAACTAGAAAAGCCCAGGTGTCCAAAATAGCAGACAAGATAAACTATCTGATATATTCATACTTTGGAATACTACTCAGCAATAAAAGGAACAAACTACTGATAACATGCAATGTCATGTGATAAATCTCAAAAACAAAAACATGAAAAAACTGAGATGCAAAACACTTTATAATATAGTGTATGATTCCATTTATATCAAGTTGTAGAATAGCTAAAACTATAGTGACAAAAATCGGATCGGTCGTTGCTTCTGGGTACAGAGGGAAGGTAAGAATGTAGACTGAGAAGAGAGAGGAGCAAAGGAACTCTACGGTTTAATGGGAATGTTCTATCTTTTGATAAGGGGTATGGGTTACGTAGATACAGTCATTTGTCAAAACCAATCAAACTGTAGACTTGTGATCTGCGCATTTCACTATATGTAAGTGATAGTATCAAATTTTAAAAAATCTCACCCCCCCAAAAAAATTACAATATTTTCCCATCTCATAATCTGATTCTCTTTCCTACTTTCCTTTAAGTATTGGACAGCTTAGTTCCACTATACACAGAGTCTCTCAATAAATGTTCCTTTCATTTCTTCTTATCCTACTCATTTTAAAGTCCTTTCTATTTCATTAGCTTGTTTTATAAACATGGACTCAGGGATTCCACGTAGGAGGCAATTGCAGTAGTTTATTCATTCATCAAATATTTGCTAACTACTTTCTTTGTATAGTGAAAATACAGAGGAAGGGATTAATTGCGTTCAGGGGCATTTCAGAAGTAGAATGGGTAGCGAGTGTGAATTCTTGGAGAACCAGGATAAAGGGGGTACAGAAGAGGCTCAACTGATTTATATCTAGTGTAATTTTTGGAATCGAACCAAGCAATGAGCAAATTGATTATTCTCCTCAGGAAAAGATTATCTCTATCTTTAAACTGTAAACATAAACATTAGCTATTTCTACCTAAAACATTTGTTTCCTATAAGTTTTGCACCTTAAAGAAGTTATTTGTATCATAAAGGAACTGAATGATATATAGATACGATATGAATGTACATCTATACATGCATGCTGAATTTATTTTATAAAACAGCACTTGGTAATCTGATTTCAGCCGGCATTGCTGACACCATTAGTACAATATTGGTTTACTTTGTCTCTTTCTTCTTCCTCCAATTAGTTTGATAAAGGCTACTCTTACAATATCCGTCATAGCTTTGGAAAGGAAGGCAAGAGGACGGACTATACACCTTTCAGTTGCATGAAGATTATTCTAACCAATCCACCAAGCCAGGGAGATTATCATGGTAAGTGTTTCTATTTGATATGTTTGTGAAATATAAAAACTCAAGAGCTCTGTAGGAAATACTATAACAGTATAATGGCTTTTTGCATTACTGAGGGGAACTAGTTTGTAGCTTTTGTCAGTCATCAGAGCCAGAGCTCCATTACTCTTCTACTGATTTGTCCTGTTACTGAACTACATCAGGCAAGAGAAATTCATTCTGCTGTGCTTCAGTTTGTGCTGGATCAGGCTCTTTAGTTCTCAGTTTCTCCCTTTACCTGCTGTTCTGTCTTTCTTGTGTTCTGCAATGTCTTAGAAGACCAATGCAAGTTCTTCGAAGACTTCTGAAACTGGATACCTCAAATTTTAGAATAGCAGGTTCATCGATTTTTAAAAGACTACTGAGGAAAAGTCTGTTTTATTCTCATTACTGTCACCGGATTAATACACACACAGATAAGTGAGGAATTTAACAGATTGTTGTGTCAAACATTTCTCAATTTGCCTGAGTTTTAGGTTTAAAAAAAAAATCTAGGTTAAACTATTTTCTATCGATTTCCAAGTTCAACAGCTTTTTTTTTTTTTTTAATAGTTTCCTGAGCATACCTTGGAAAACTCATTTACCTGGTATGTCAGAGATGATTTAATAGTCCATAATAGTAAATTTTCTAGATTATCAAAGCTTAGTGCAATATGTGTTAAAACTTTTATGCTTTGACATCTTAATTGAAACTTTTAAGATCACATACTTTTAGGCTGTTAAAAATCAAATAATCACAAACAGAATTTTAAGAAAGATGTTACCTGTGTCCAGAGCATATAAAAATGCTTGAATATTTATGTTTAATAGATGAAAAGGTGGTCAATACTATTATACACAGTGAGTGGTTCTTATCACTTGTATCAGTCACTCAATGTAGTTTTTAGAAATAGATTCTCAAACCTCACCCTCAGTTATATAAAAGAAGTATTCGCAAGTTCCAAGGGTGATTTTTATGTTCTTTATTTCTTATACCTGTTAAATTATATCTTATTTATTCCAATCCATTCTGTTTGTTTTATTTTGTTTTTAATTTAAACCACTAGTTAAAAAATATTATACCTAGCACTCAGTGATCTCTTTGTTAGGCACATTTATCTATCCTTTTTAAAAAATAATAAACTTTATTTTTTAAGAGCAATTTTAGGTGCACGGCAAAATTGAGAACTTAGAGTTCCCATATACCCTGTGTCCCCACTTACACAACCTTCCCTGCTGTTGATATCCCATACAAGTGTGGCTTGTTACATGTGAGCTGAGAAGAATGTGTAATCAGCTGTTGTTGGATGTAGCTGTTTTATAGATATCAATTATATTCAGTTGATTGAGGAGGGCACAGCTGAGTTCAACTGTATTGTTGCTGACTTTCTGCCTGCTGGACCTGTCCATTTCTGATGGAGGGGTGTCGAAGTCTCTAACGGTAGATTCATCTAAATCTTACAGTTCTATCAAGATTTTACCTCATGTATTTTGAGGCTTCATTGTTAGGTACATACAAATTAAGGGTTGTTATGTCTTCTTGGAGTATTTATCCCTTTATCATTATGTAATATTCTAGATAAATTTTCTTGCTCTGAAGTCTGCTATGTCTGAAACCAATACAATTTCTTCTGCTTTCTTTTGATTTGTGTCAGTATTTCTGCATTTCTTTACTTTTTATCTATATGTGTCTTTATGTTTCCAGTGGCTTTCTTCTACACAGTATGCAGTTGGTTCTTATTTTTTGATCCACTCTGACAATCTCTGTTTTTAATTGGTGTATTTAGACCATTGATGTTTAGAGTAATAATTGATATAACTGGATTAATATCTACCATATTTGTAACTATTTTCTATTTGTTGCCCTTATTTTTTATTCCTGTTTTGGTCCCCCATACTTTTTCTGCCTTCTGCGGTTTTAATTGAGCATTTTATATGATTCTCTTTTTTCTACTTTCTTAGCATATCTATTATACTTCTTTTTGTTACTTTTTAAAAGTTATTTTTTTTTTTTTTAAGTTTTCACTACACATTTCTACTAATCCAAGTCTCCTTTCAATCACACTGTACCATATCATGGGTAGTGCAAGTACCTTATAAAATGAAATATTTCTAATTTACTTGTATTATCCTGTCATTCATTTCGTTTATACATAAACACGTATACATGCATAGATACATAAATATACATACTCGAATACATTGTTCCTATTATTTTCAACAAAGTGTTATTTGTTAGATCAATTAAGAATAAGAAAAATAAAAGTTTTTATCTTACCTTTCCTTATTCTCTGATATTCTTTTCTTGAGGTAGATCTGTTTCTGGCCTATATCGATTCCTTTGAAGAACTTTTTTTACATTTCTTGTAATGCAGGTCTACTGGCAACAAATTACCTCAAGTTTTACTTGTCTAAGAAAGTCTTTATATCTCTTTTGAAGGATAATTTAGCAGGGTACGGAAATCTAGGTTTGTGGGGCTTTTTCTCTCATCACTTAAATATTTCACTCCTCTCCTAGCTTGCATGGTTTCTGAGAATAAGTTAGATTTAATTGATAATTGTTATCTTCGCTTCTCTGTAAGTAAGGTGTTTATTTTCTCTGACTTCTTTCAAGATTTTTTCTTTATTTTTGATTTTATGAAGTATGAATATGATATACCTACTTGTATTTTTTTTTTTTTTTTTGATATTTGTTCTTGGTATTCTGAGCTTCCTGGATCTATAGTTTGCTGTCTGACATTAATTCGAAGGAAATTCTCTGTCGTTATTGCTTCAAATATTGCTTCTATCCTTTTTTCTTGTCTCCTGGTTTTTCTGTTATTCATACGTTACACTTTCATAGTTGTCCCTTGGATATTCTGCTCTTGTTTTTTTCAGTTTTGGAAGTTTCTACTGACATATCCTCAAATTCAGAGAGTCTTTCCTCAGCCATGTCTACTAATAAGGCCATAAAGGCATTCTTTATTTCTGTTAGAGTGCTTTTGATCCTAGCATTTTTAAAAACAATTCTTTCTTAGAATATTCCTTTCTGCTTATGTTACACATCTGTTCTTGCATGTTGTCTACTTTTTCCATTAGAGGACTTAGCATATTAATCATAGTTAAACTCCTGGTCTGATAATTCCAATATCCCTGCCATATCTGGCTCTAGTTTTGATGCTTGTTTAGCCTCTTCAAACTGTATGTTTTTGCCTTTTCATATGCCTTATAATTATTTCTTAAAATGTAGACATGACATACTGGGTAAGAAGCAGCTTCTCTAAGTAGTAGTCTGTTTCTTCTATTTTCTTCTTATTGTTGAGCATAGCTTTAAAATACTTTTTTGTGATCTTTTGTACTTTATCAATCTTAAAGCCCTTTCTGACCTTTCAAATAGTTATAGACATTACTTCAAATGTAATTTGATACTTCAAATGTAATTTGAGTATATCAATTAATCTTTGTTTGTTTGTATCCTTTAATAATTCTGAGCTTAACCTAAAATTCCATGTGCAGCCTCATCTCTTTCTCATTGTGATCCTTCACAATTTCATTATCAAATTTTTTTGAGGATTATAGTGATAGCTAACTCACATTTAGTGCTTACTATGTGCCAGGAACATGTACGAGCTTTGTATTCCATTCTCACAAGAGCTCAGTGTTTATTTCCCTCACTTGACAGAAAGTGAAGGTGAGTCAACAGGAAGATACAAAATTTGCCTAAGGTCTCCCAGTGAGTAACTGATAAACTGAGATTCAAACTCAGGCAGTATAGCTCCAAACTCTTAACTATGTGCTACACAGCTTCTCAAGATAGTTTCTTGTACTAAAAATTATTACAATTTTAATCAGAATAAAGTACATACTACGAATGTTGTAAATTTTATAATTTTTAGCACTCCATAGTATTATTACCATGGAGGTTTTCATTCGTAGTTAAGATTTTTGGTAAACATATTTGTTTGGCCTGTGGGCTCTTTTCCATTATTTTTGCCCCAACCAATTTCCTATTGATTTCATTAAAAATGCACAATTGTTTCTAATAGATATATCATCTGTATGACTGAAAAATAATCTGGCTTCCTGTATTAAATTTTAAAATAAGTGTTTTGTTATTGCAGTTTCTCATTAAAATGTCTAAAATTTTCCAGATTTTGACTTAATACAGTTTACATTTCCATTCTTCTGTGTTCTTATTTATGAAAATATTTTTAGTAGTCCATCTTTATTTTTGTTTTTCTCATGAAATAATATAGAGGTGACATGTATCTACTATAAATTGTTTTTTCTGTGAAACAGTTTCTTATTTGTCCATCTCATTCTCATCCATGATTCATCTAAATTTATATTGATTCTACCTTAATGGGAAATAGACATAGAATTTAAATATGAAAATGATGTGAGATTTTTATATTTCTTAGAGTTTGCATGTTTTTATTTACAGCATCTTCCTTGTATGCCTTTTATGTAATTTTTTTAAACTAAAAAAAGTATGAGATTGTATACAGGCTTTTAGATAAACTGTTTTATAGCTGCTTTGTGATTATCTCTGCTTGTTAGCAAGTAGGACAATTAAAACTGTTTCCTCTTCCTAGTGGTTGGGCAACTTAGCCTGAGAATGCTGTAGTGTTTTATGTAACTCTTGAGCCTGTAGTACCCTGATAACTGTGTAGCTAAGTCGTCATTTAGATAAAGAGAGGAAAGCAGTTGCACCCATGGGCAATTAACTTTTTTATTAATAAGCTGTTAGACAATTAAGGGGAGCTTAGACGGTCTCTCGAGTGTGGTGTTGTACTAAGTCCTGAGTAAATAACCTTGTTGGTATGCTGGCTTGTTTTTTGTTGTCAGGGTGCCCATTCCGTCATAGTGATCCAGAGCTGCTGAAGCAGAAGTTGCAGTCATACAAGATCTCCCCTGGAGGGATAAACCAGGTAGGTCAGATTCTGCCCTGCATCCTCAGTAATGAGGCGTCAGGCAGTTCCTCTCAGTTTCATTTAATGTTCTTGCAGCAATGCTGTGTACTACTTGTCAGGCTCCACACCACCAGACATCCTTTCTTCTAGGTGAATTAAGCTAAAGCCTTGACTTTTCTGGTTTAGAGTCCTTGGAAATTCTAGTTCTGTCTGCTAGGCTGCATTTTTATTTTTCTTGGTATTAAAAGAAGCTGGAAAGCTTTTTTCTCTCAGTTTGTTTTACTATCTCAATTGAGGACACTAAAAAATTTTTTTAGAGGAATGCATTGAAGCTTATTAATGAAGTTGAAAATTAATGACATCTTATTTCATTTTGGGAAATTGTTTTCTATGCTGCATGTAGGTTAGAGCAGGAGATAATGTAGTGTGTGCTGGCTAAATGTTCTTGTAAGCCTTAGTTGTTGCTATGTTAAATCTCCCCTTCTAATGATAGTTCGTTAAATCTAACAGTTTGTCAAAATGAGTTGTCTTGCAAACAATTTAGATTAAAAAAAAATTCTCAAATGTAAAACCAAATATTTAAGAATATATTTTTTTAGTAAATATGCTTTTTAAAAAAATATATTGTGACATTACAAAGATTACTGTCTATGGTATGCTTTTGAGTTGACTTAGATTTTGAAGGAGTTCAAGAGGAACTTCTGCTTTCTTAGTTTAGGAAGAACAATATATATTTTAGAGCTGGAACGTCTCAGTCATTGTATATCCTTAAATAATTATTTTTACTTCTAGGAAATAATTGCTCTAGAGAACTCTACTGCTCCTACTGTGTCCAGAGTTTAGATTGAGTTAATTTAGTTAAAATCTTACAGTTTTTTCAGTATTCTGGATAAGACAGTGCTCAAGGTGCAGTTGAGGGATGCAAAGAAGAATCAGATATAAATCCTGGTCCTGTAGAACCAGAGTCTGGAGGAAAACATATGCCAAGTGTTATGGGAGAGGTACAGTCATCCCCCACCTATTCTATATGTTCCAAGGGGTATGTTCCAAGACCCCCAGTGGATGGATGTCTGAAACTGCAGATAGTATCAAACCCTACAGTAAATACTGTTTCTTTATATACATACATAACTACAATAAAGATTAATTTATAAAGTAGGCACAGTAGGAGATTAACAATAATATATAATAATAAAATAGGACAGTCATAACAATATACTGTAATAAAAGTTATGTGAATGTGGTCTCTCTGTCTCTCAAAATATCTTATTCTGTGCTCACCCTTCTTGTGATGATGCGAGGTGATAAAATGCCTACCTGATGAGATGGAGTGAGGCTAATACATAGGCATAGCTTTAGGCTACTGTTGACCTTCTGACTATACATCAGAAGGAGGATCATCTGCTTTGGATGATCCTGGGTCATTAAGCCATGACAGTGTTGATGATTGGGGAAATTTAATATTTTTGTACCATGGTTGACTACAGTAACTGAAACTGTAGATAATGAGGGGTACTAGTATACACGTAGAATATCTTGGGTCTTCTGAAGATAGGTGAATATAACCAGCAAGGGAGACCATGGAACACTCTCTATAAGATACTATTTTGAGTTAAGCCTTGAAGGGGGATCGGGAATTAGGAAGAGAGAATGCGTGAATAAAGGGTAGTAAATGTATAAGATTATTAGGATTTCAAGTTTAAGATAATGGTGGCACCATTGATGTCCTATCTAAAAGTTCATTGCCAGATTCAAAGTTATGAAGAGTGACACATATTTTCTTGTAGGAGTCTTATTGTTTTGGCTTTTATATTTATGTCATTGATCCATTTTGAGTTAATTTTTGTATGTGGTGTGATAGGAGGGTCCAACCTCATTCATTTTCATGTGAATATTCAGTTGTCTCAGCATCATTCATTGAAAAGACTGTTTCCCCATTGGGATGGTCTTGCACCCTTCAAAACTCATTTGGATATAGATATATGGGTTTATTTATGGACTCTCAGTTTTACTGCATTGGTCTCTATGTCTTATCTTTTTGCCAATACCATACTTCTTTTTTAATAACTGTAGTATTATAGTAAGTTTTGAAATCAGAAAATGTGAATTCTCCAAATTTGTTCTTTTTTTTCAATATTATTTTGGCTATTTAAAGACCCTTTCAATTCCATATGAATGTGAGTATTGACTTTTCCATTTTTGCAAAAAAGAAAAAAACCACTGGAACTTTCATAGGAATTGCATTGAATCTCTAGATTGCTTTGGGTAGTTAGTATTGATATCTTAACAATATTATCTTTCAATTCATGAACAAGGGTTTTATTTTTTTCCTCCGATTTATTTAGGTCTTTAATTACTTTTAGCAATATATTTTTTTTAGATTTTTGCATACATGTTTTCCTCTCCTGGGCTAAATTTATTCCTTGGTATTTTATTCTTTTGAATGCTGTTGTAAAAGAATAATTTTTTAATCTCCTTTTCTGATTGTTTACTGATAGTGTTAGAATACAACTGATTTCTTTGTATTTTTCTTGTATCCTGCTACTTTGCTGAATTCATTTATTAGGTCTGATAGTTTTTTAATGGATGTTTTAGAATTTTTTTTTTTTTTTGTATATAAGACCATGTCATCTCTGAATATAGTTTTAATTTTTCATTTTCATTTGGATGTCTTTTCTTTCTTGCCTAATTGCTAGAACTTTTAATACAATGTTGAGCAGCAGCAGTGAAAGCAGGCATCTCTGTCTTGTTCTTGACTTTAGGAGGAAAGCTTTTACTCTTTAACTGTGTGTTTGCTATTAGCTCTAGGTTTTCATATATGCCCTTTTTTATAAGAAGTTTCCTTCTTTTTCCAGTTTATGTGTGGGGTGTAATCTTGAAAGGGTGTTGGATGTTGCCAGATGCTTTTTTAGCACCGATTGACATGATCATGTGGCTTTTGTTCTTTATTCTGTTAATGTGGTACATTATATTGATTAATATGTGCTGAATCACCTTGGCATTACTGGGATAAATTCCACTAGGTCATGGCTTATAATTCTTCATTGTGCTGCTGGATTTGGTTTCCTAGTATTTTTGTTGAGGATTTTTGCATCCATATTCATAAGGGATATTGGTCTATAATTTTCTCATGATGTCTTTGTTTGGCTTTGCTATGAGGGTAATGCTGGCCTTTTAGAATGAGTTAGGAAATGTTGACTCCTTTTCTGTTCTTTGGAAGAGTAAAGAGAAGGATTGGTGTTAATTCTTTCAGTGCTTGGTAGAATTCACCAGTGAAGTCATCTGGTCCTAGGTTTTTCTTCATTGGGAGGTTTTAATACCAGTTCAGTCCCTCTACTTGTTACTTTTGTTTAGATTTTCTATGTCTTCTTGGGTCAGTTTTAGTAATTTATGTGTTTCTGGGAATTTATCCATTTCATCTAGGATATCTGATTTGTTGGTGTACAATTATTCGTGGTATTCCCTTGTAATTCTTTACACTTTAGTAAAGTCAGGAGTAATGTCCCCACTCTCATTTCTGATTTTAGTAATTTTAATCTTCCCTCCCTCTTCCCCCTGTCAGTCTAGCAAAAGCTTTGTCAATTTTATTGATCTTTTCAAAGAACTAATTTTTGAGTTTTTAAATTTTCTCTATTGTATTTCTATTCTCTATCTAGTTTATCTCCACTCTCATCTATATTTCCTTGCTTTGGCTTTGGGTTTAGTTTGCTCTTCTTGTTTTAGTTACTTAAAGCATAAAGTTAGATTATTGTTTTGAGAGCTTTCTCTTTTTTTTATTGTAGTGTTTACAGATAGAATTTTCTCTGTGAGCACTTCTTTGCTGTATTCTATAGTTTGATATGTTTTATTTTTGTTTTCGCCTGAAACTTTTGTTTTCATTTTCATTATTCCAATTTCTCTTGTGATTTTTTCCTTCACCCATTGGTTGTTTAGAAATGTGTTATCTAATTAATTTTCACATATTTAAAAATTTTCCAGTTTTCCTTTTGTCATTGATTTCTCATTTCATCACATGTGGTTGAAGATATTTTATGTAATTTCACTATTTTAAAATTTGTTAGGATTAGTTTCATTACCTAACACATGGTCTTATCCTGGAGAATGTTCCCTGTGCACTTGAGAAGAATGTATATTCTGCCATTTTGAGAGAAGTGTTCTGTATGTGTGTGTTATTTTCTAGGTGGTTTATAGTGTTGTTCAAATTATATTTTCCTAGATATTGTCTGTCTGGTTGTTCTACCCACTATCGAAAATGGAGTAATGAAGTTTCCAACTATTATTATACAACTATTTGCTTCTACTTTCAATTCTTTCATGCACTGAAAGCAATTCTTTTTTGCTTCACGTGTTTTATGTCTCTCTTTTTCAGTGTATTTATGTTAATAATTGTTACATCTTGATGGACTGACTCTTTTATTCGTATATAATGTCCTTTTTGTCTCTTGTAATAATTTTTGACTGAAAAGCTATTTTACCTAATGTTAGTATAGCTACCCCAGCTCTATTTTGGTTACTGTTTTCATGAATATCTTTTTTCATCCTTTCACTTTCAACCTATTTTTTCTTTGGATCTAAAGTGAATCTCTTGTAGAGAGCATATAGTTTGTGTATTTTTATTCATTTTTTTCCAATATTTGAGATTGGAGATTTTAATCTATCTACAAATAAAATAATTACTTATAAAAAAGGTTCACTTTTGTCATTTTGCTCTTTGTTTTCTACATGTCATATTTCTTTTATTCCTTAGTTCTTCCATTACTCCCAACTTTTGTATTTTTTTATAGTGTATTTTTTTGATTCTCTTCTCATTTCATTTTCTGTATATTTTTAATTATTTTTTTCGTAGTTACCCTGGGGATTGCAATTAACCTATTAAACTTATAACAATACCAATGTAACATCTATAATATACAAAAACTCTGCTTCTTTATATCTCTTTCTCCCTTTTTGTTGTCACAGATTACATCTTTATACATTATTTATGCCCATTAATGTGAATTTCTAATTATGCATGCATT